CATGATTTTTGGTCACAACCTTTATAAGGTGACAGCCTTCCCTCCTGCGTGATCTAATGTAATCTACCGACGTCATATGGTCGAACGACCTCATATGATTTCGCGCATTGCACGCGTGTAAAGATTTTTTTAAAATTAAATTTTTGCTCTATTTAGTGATATATGTTCACCATCTTCATGAGGAAACAGCCTTCCCTCCTGCGTCATCTATGGTAATGTGGCCTTCGTATGGTACTGCCGAAAACATTCCAAAATGCAGAGTCCGACATCGCACCTCACGCACTTTGTACGAACGCTAGACCGCTTCCCACGCAAAGAGCACACACGACACCTCAGTTGCAACTTAGAGGAAGCAGGCCAGTGATGTCGACGGGCTTCCTTTAATCGTTTTACTAACGATGACACGGCAGGAGGTCGACCAATGGACCTTTGAGGGAGAGGTGGACCCCTTCCAGCTTCTTCCACCATGTTGCACACAAGGGCGAGACGAAAGTCTCGATGTGACAGTTTCGTGCCACAGGATGAAAACAAGATGAAGCTGTTCAGAATTGTCAGATCCAGGAGATGGCAAAATAGTTTATTTGTCCATTTCCAGGTCCGACGACTGATGCTGTAACTGTTTGTCATTCTGTCCGCTTTGTCGACATAACCCATGTGCATGTTATAATCCACAACAACTGATGGTTTGATGACATTCCGTGCTCATTACGGAAAGTACCTTCTGCTGGAGGACAGTGCATGTTTGTCATTATGTGCCAAATGTTCGGAAGGGTTATAATATTTTTGATATGCGTCATTGAGAGTGTCGAAGAAGGTCCGAATTTTCCATAGTCGGTCATAACTGTCGGCATTCCTGTCAGTTCCTGTAATGTTGTCTGCAAAATGTAGAAAACGAAGAATGTGAAGAAAACGGTCGCGTTTCATTGTGTTAGAGTAGAAAGGCATGGCAAATTGTTCAGCAGTCGACCAGTAGTCCTTTAGTGTGTCTCTAATGTCATGTCCCATTTGAATGATTATTCCTAGAAACAGAAACATCTCGGATTCAGTTACGTCAGGCCGCGGAGTCAAGTCTGTCTAGGTACTGGTGATAGTACTTATTCGTCTCTTCCACCAGCAGATGGATAATCCCCATCTTCATATAGCCATGAACATTAAGTGTAACAGTGATAATTTTAAAGTGTAAAACCACAGGGAAAGATAGGCTAGATTGATTAGGTTCATCAGTGATCCCAAGGCGTAGAATACCCGCCAGTAGGGTGACAGGAGGTAGAACCAACGATGACTGCAGGTTCATTATCCAGTGTAATACAACCGACAAACGTCGGCACAGTGTGTGTATAGTGTATATAACGACGTAGGTAAATAGAATAGGATAGGAATGTGTAAGAGTTTAATTCAACCCAACATTTCCTTAAGTGTTACCCTCTTCCTTGACGACTCCAGGACCTCCCAACGCTCCGGCGAATTACGAGTTAAGCCAGGACAGGGACGCAAGCTATGATAAGTTTACGAGATTTATTGAAATAACAAGATGGTGGCAGCATACTAAACGGGGTGAC